CTCCTCTGATGCTGCCTGACCTGCTGTGTTCCTCCAGCTCCACACTGTGTTGACAGCCACCGTAGGTTTGTTGCTCACATACATTTTCTCCACAATGCATTACTAAGTACCCGATTCACCAAATTGATAACCTCTCACTGAGCACTTAATGGTTATTAGAAGAAAATGTACCACCTATTTTCTGTGGCCAATTGCAATGGTATGCCTCCTAACCCCACCTAACTCCAGTGGTTCAGATGTGGGAGATGTCGATATGTTAATCCGAACACTGACTCACAGTCAAGGGCATTCTGCCTTTTGAAGGAACAAGTTGCACACAACAGGAGGAAAAGCTGTATTGTCAGGTTGTAGATCTCCTCTCAATGCCCTGAAGGAAAAGATCTTGAAAGAACAGGCTGCAATGTAGTAGAGTCAGTGGTATTCTGTTCTGGGGAAATAATTCTGGATGACCGCAAGTTGCAAGCATTTGCATCTTCTCAGTAACTCTTATCCCTGACAGCAGCAGGGTTACTCACTGTTAGAGTCCGAAAGACAGTACACAGTGTCAACTGTAAAATATGAAAAGCATTGTGGCTACTTCTAGAATGATGGACACTCACTAATAATTTCTTAAATGAAAACAAAATGCAGGAGAAATCAACAGTTCTGGCACCACCTGAGGAGAAAGAAACAAGTCATGTTTTGTACCCAGTATAATTCTGCTTCCAGAGAAGTCTTATTAAATGTGAAATGTTAGCTCTGTTTCTCTCACCCTAGATGCTGTCGGAACTGGTAAGTTTCTTCACTACTTGTTTTTATTTCAGATATCTCGCAGCTCTTTTTTAAAAAAAAAAAAAAAATTTCTCTGTGTGGTCAATCACTGACCACTAATCTAGTGAGTGATGGCCCTTGCAATTTTTGTATTGTCCCCCAATGGGTGTGGGGTCCTATAGTCATATGTGTGCAGTTGATGGTGCTCTCTACCATCAGGAAGTCACTATCCTGGTGAACCAAGATGCTTACTCTCATCTGGTTTTTCCCTCTGCACAGAGAAATAGTTGCCTAATCTTCATTTAAACCCTGGATACTTCCATGAATGGTAAATTGCTAACATCACAGCTACTGTAGGAGAAGAAAATGTAAAGATGATTTACACAGACTCTGGAAGAGTCATTCTCACCCTAGTATGAAACTCGACAGGCTTTCAGAAAGAAGTTAGCACTGTAATACCACATCCTAGCTAGCAATACCTACATCCCATGAACAAAGAAAAAAGCCTCCTGAGGCACTGATCCTGGTTCATCCTGACTGATGCTTCCAGCTGAACTTATTGGGGTAGAGCTATCCGAAGAGAAGCACCCCCCAATCCCTCCTGCTCAATCCTCTCGGCTTTCTCTTTTAGTCCTATGGTTGAACAAGAGGCACTGTAACCACTGCCCCCATATTTATCAAAGGCCGTGTAATTTTCTCAGGCTTGCTGTGATCAGCAGTAACTTCCACGCACTTGTGAGTTCAGGCATAGTCATTCTACCCCAAACAAAAACAAATGCTGAAGAAACTCAGTGGGTCTGGCAGCATCCATAGAGAGAAAAAGTTATATTTTCAAGTCCAGTGACCTTCAGTCTGAATTGATGCTTCCACCGGCCTGATTACAGCACAAGTTCAAAATTTAGCTGCCCCTTGTTGAGTGGCCCTAAAAATAGCTGCAGGACAAGACCAATCTTCGTATTATCATGCTTTTTCCGGAGATCTCTGCCTATTTGTTGTGTTTACTATTTGTGTGTTCTATTACCTTGGAAGACCTGAAATAAAACTGAAGCTGCTGGTGAAAAACTACCGTTTTGCAAGTTGAGATCATCACTCCAGAGTTTCAATTCATCCAGCCTACTGTTAAACTGCATCTTCAGTTTTAGGGGAGTTCAAATCCTGCCTTTATGTTAAAAGTGTAATCAACATTTATCACTTTCAGATTAAAGGATTTTTTTCTACAATTTAAATTTACTTTTACTAACTCAATTTTTCCACTTTTTATTATCATTGACCTTAAATATTCAAGGATTATCATAGCTATCCAAATTAATATTTTGCATTACTGCAATTAGTAAAAGGGAAGTTATTTTGCTACATAATAATACAGTTTAAGCTCTGCTGCAGTCATATGTATTTTGTTCCATTTATTCAAGAAACAGTACACTCAAAAATTAGTTTAAAAAATGTATGTCTCTAGTTATCATTGGATTTATCGGCAGATTTCCTTTGTAGTAAGTGTCATATTTGCATCTTGTATTTCTCTACATATTTACAGGGC